GAAGAAGGATTTTCGAAAAAAAAAAGAATTTCACACATGCAATTGTCATTTCGGGGTTCATCCGTCTGATGAGGAACTTTTGCCGGTTTTTTGTCATTTATTTTTCTATTTTTTTCCCATTCATATACAGCTGCATATTGATTATCTGTAAGCGTATGTCTATGCGCGTATACATTCATTTACAATATACATATATATGTGTGTGTGTGTGTGTGTGTGTGAGTGTGTTATATATATATATATATATATATATATATATATAGATATAGATATAATATATAGACATCACACACACACACACACACACACACACACACACACACACACACACACACACACACACACACACACACACACACACACACACACACACTATATATATATATATATATATATATATATATATATATATATATATATATATATATATATATATATATTATATATTGACACTGACCCTGATATGCAGAGAGAGTGAGATGCGTCTAACCAGCGACCGCGCACGGGCGCGTATTCTGCCCTCCCCGCCCCTCCCTCCGAAGGCGCCGACGCCCGCCATGAGGGTCTTGCCCGCGACACGAAGGGCGCTGGCCCTTGCCCTGGCCGCTGCCGCCTGCGTCTCCTTCTCCCAGCTGTGCATCTTCTCCGCCAGCCAAACGCACTCGCGCTTCAGGTCAGTCACGAGCGAGGGCGAGTTTATCGGGGCGACCTTTGACCCGAGACAAGCCAGCGCGGGAAGGAAAGGAAACCCTCAGTGGAAAAGGGCGTCCGGCAACCCCCTCAGTTACGCGGAGAGCCGCCAAGCCAGAAAGGGCTTTTGGAACCGAAGTGCAACCAGACGAACGGGAAAGGGTGGGCGGTTCTCCACGGCCGCGACGGAGGGAGAGGTCGCCAGAGAGGAGAAGAGGAGAGGACCGAAGGAGCAGAAGGACCGAGAGCCGAGGCAGACGGAGGGAGGGCTGCCCAGACTCAGCCTCTCCAGCGGCGCCGCCCTTCGGGACACGGACTTCGCCAAGTACAGCCCAGAGGTAAGTTGTGGAGTTCGAAGACACGATATTTGGTATTCTGGTATTAATCAAACAAACAAGAAATGAAGAAAATGCAAACTGACATTTAGGGTTATGTTCTAGTGTTGTGTATTAGATTTCGAAAAGAGGAAAAACGGAGACAGGAAGGGGTAGGGCCTATTAGAACACTGTAGATAAAGTTCCTTTCAGAGCAAATGCTAAAAAGATCATCCGCTAATGAAGAGCGAACACTTAGTTAAACAATAACTACAGGATTTCCTTTAAGTCTTCTCTGTTTTTTTGCTGATTTCCCTTAGAACGCTGTTCGTTGTATATCTGTTTATGATCTTTTATTGATTTTATCTGGCTTCCGATGGTACCTTTTCTCATGCTTACGTAATGGAGTGATTTGTGCTTGATTTAACTTTTAAGAATGATTTATTATGACTATGATATTTAAGCTGCCTATAAAACATTGCTTTTATAACAAGTGCAGCGAGAGAGAGGGTGAATATTACCATCTATAAAGCGAATATGCAAATCAGTGCGAGACAAGGATTCCTTCCCGGTTTCATACCATGTTAAAGACCTGAAGGCAATGGGATGCCCGGGCAAGATCTGTACCCAAGGCTATGCGGTCCGTCGGTCACGCCTCGCCTTCTCGCCTGCACCAGATGCGCGTCATATGTTGTGGCTTTTTTATCTTATTTTATGTTGTATGTATTTTCCTTGAAAACTTACTCACAGATATGATATATATATATATATATATATATATATATATATATATATATATATATATATATATATATATATATATATATATATATATATATATATATATATATATATATATATATATATATATATATATATATATATATATATATATATGTATGTATGTAATATATATATATATATATGCATGTACCCCCTCACCCCGCCCCACGTCCAGACCCAAAGCCTTCCCCTCTTTGCGCCGCAGGACAGGCTCATCCTGGAGAGCCGCGTGGGCGTGATGGCGGAGCGCGCCCGTGCGGTGGCTCGAGCATGCCAGGAGACGCCGCCCATCGAGGGGACGCCCGTGAGAGAGAATTTCATTTGGGACTTGAGGCACAAGCCGAGCATCGTCTGGTGCCCCACCTACAAGGTAAGGGAGGGGGGTACATGTGTGTGTGTGTGCTACTATTTTATTGAGACAAAAGCAATCCGTATTAAGAAGATTATATGCTTACTATTGAATAATTTGCTAACTGGAATATACTGCATGTCCTCAAAATTTAAAACGGAATGTTTTAAAGTTGAATGGATAAATGACAAAAGCATTTTTTCTCCACAAATACTTAAATGGATCATCTAACTATCGAGTGAGTGCATCTTGAGGCGTCTACATCTATAAACCTTCACACAGTATCCATAGACAGTATATTTCCCTGGCGCTGATTAGCACATATTACACTCAAATGTAAAAATCATGAGCAAATAAACAACCAAACCCAAATCTTGTGTGTGATCTGTACCGCCACTCTGTATGCATTTATGCTCACTCATAAACACACCTCTATATACATGTGATAAATCTATGCACCGCCGTTGTATGGACTGACCTCGGACGCCCCGGCCAGGTCGCCTCCACCACCTGGATGCGCAACTTCCTCCTCCTGGGCCGCTTCAACGAGCACAACCCGCGCATTCCGAGGAACCTCTCGGCGGAGGAGCGGGAGAGGAGGCGGTTCAAGGTGAGTCGGGTCGGCTGCTCTGAGTAGGGTTGGTGGGCTAGGAGCAAAGTTTCATTCTGTGTAGTTTGTATCATTTGTAATTGTTTTTATGAAGTGAGGAACGTAAATACAAAAAAGCATGTTCTTATCTACGCACGCACATAGACATTTTTATAGATAATGTAAGTGTCTGATTCTCTACGTAGAAGTGAGTGTGTGTCCCATCGGGTATCTCGCATTCGTGCGTTTTCGTGTTCTTCCCTTTGTTGTTTCATTTATAATTTGTTCAGCTAAGTCGTGCACACGCATGTATGTTTGTGTATATGACAGCCAGCGAGACCCAAACACAGAGAGAGATAAAGGAGAGTGAACGAGGAAGAGCAGACAGACATCTCCAGACAGACACGCACTGACCCCCCCCCCCTTGCAGCCAAAGTACGGCGCGACGCACGGCGCTGCCTTCGCGATGTACGGGCGCCCCCCGACGGCGGCGGCGAGGGCGCGGGCGCTGAGAGAGAGCGTCAGGCTGATCATCGTGAGGCATCCCTTCACCAGGTGTGTTCCGGAGGCCCTTCGTTAGCTAAGGGCTCTCCAGGGAAGGATTCTGCGACCTTTGTCTCCGGGTCGGGATGCTGTGGCCTCCTCTCGGCTGCGGGAATCAGGCGGATGGGTTTCTCACGGCTTCCTTCCCTGTTTAAGCTCTTGCAATTTTCAGTTTATACATTTGGTGTCTTTATCATCATAATCAATTATTTCATTATCAACATTATTACCATCATTATCTTTGTCATAATTGCCTATATCATTATCACAGTTGTTATTGCTATCATTACTACTACTACTACAATTATCCTTATCATTATTATTACTAGTATTTTCATTATTATTGTTATCATTATTATCATCATTATTATTATCACTAATGGATACATCATAACAAAACTGCGCCGTAACAGAAGGTTTATGTAGTAGTTGTAGTAATAGCAGTAATGATTATTAAAGCAACAGTAAGTGGAATAAGGCTGATGATAATACTTATGATGACGATGATGATGTTTATGATGATAATAATGATAATGATTATGATGATAATAATAATGATAATTATGATGATAATTATGATGATAACAATGATAATGATTATGATAGTGCTGATGAGGATGATGATAGCACTATACATTACCAAACAGCAACAGCAATAACAAAACGCTGCACCAATCAGAACCGTGAGCCCTCCGACCCCTTCCCCAGGCTCCTCTCCGCTTACCGCGACAAGATGGCCAAGCGAGTCCCTCGTCCGAGGAAGTTCCGGTACGAGGATCTCCAGAGGCACATCGTGGCCACGTACCGCAGTGGCCGCAGCGCTGACCGGTCTCCCTTCCCGAGTTTTCCGGAGTTCGTCCAGTTCGTCATCGATTCGACGCGGAATTTCTCCAGCGCCGCCGACTGGAAGGAAAACGTTTGTTGAGAATTATCTTTATTATTATTTGATGTGTCTTTAGGGTTGTTTTCCATTCTAAGAGATTTGTTAGCTGTCTTTCGTCGTTTTAGTTCACGTTTGAAGCTGTGAAATCTATAGAATTCTCATAGAAGAAAGGGAGAGAGAGAGAGTGATGGGGGAAGGGCAGACAGACAGACTGAGACAGAGAGAGAGTTTACAACAAGTAAAAATCTCTCGGGATATTAGGCCCCAAAAGAAAGGGAAAATGAGAATAAATGGAGAAGGAGCGACCTTGACCTCCTCCCGCCCGTCAGGTCAGATGCTGGGTCCCCTACTGGGCGCACTGCAACGTCTGTGACTACGACTTCAACGTCATCATGAAACTGGAGACCCTGGAGGAGGACCAGCAGTTCCTCGTCGCGCTCTCGCACCTCGACGAACTCAAAGTAAGAAGACGAGACTGGCCTTATAAGACAGCCGTCGCCAAGGCATGCAGGCGACTTTGTATTGTAGATATACTTGAACTTGAAGCATGCACGTTGACGCTAGACATATACTCGGACTCAGATAATATACACATACTCTCTGATCTCTTGAAAAGTGATATATTTCTGGGTCTTCATTCCCTTTTATCTTCCTTTTTTTCCTTTTCCTTTACAGAACAAAACCAGCTGGGCTCATCTGCGCGGCTCGTCGTCGTCTCAGCTGGCGGTGCAGTTTTACAAGGATCTGACACGCCATCAGATGCTGCAACTTTACAAGCGCTACGAACTGGACTTTAAGCTTTTCCAATACCATATACGGGATTACTTGTCTGTTGCAAAGGACGCGTGA